TTAATATGCCGCAAGATTTTATATACATCCTTAACGACATCCTTAAGGAATCCAAAAATATCATGTGAGATTTTAAATTTCTATTTAAAAAGGCACATCAAAATCATTACCGATCTCTCGATTTATAAATAAAAAGTTATCACTTAAACGTTATTACTCCTATTTGTATAAATGTATACTATTATATTAAATTATTCTAATTTTTAAAGAGGCTGATAGAAGTAAAATAGGATGATGGAGCCTCAAGTTTATATCTTTATTGGGGAAAAAAAATTAATTCTGTTTTTAATAATATACACGCTACTTTTTCACCGATCGCGTCATCCGTTGAACAAATCCCATTTGATAGCACGTCTTTATGTATTCATAGTCATTGTGCGTATATTAGCCGTGCGATGTAACACGCTTCCGGCCGCTTCTTTAGCGCGCCGGCTTTTTATCTTCGAGCCAAGCCTTCGTTTCTCGAGTGACGCGAGCGAAAGATCGCTGATCGATAAAAGCTGTTTTACTCGCACAACTCGGGCCGGGCCGGGCCGTATATACAAAAAGATAAACATATTATTCGGTCGCACGATTAATCCGGCGCGAGTCAATAAATGCGATCTTATCCGAATCTACCGAGGATGAAACGCATCACCGACGTACCAGCTACATTCATATGCATTTTTTATCGATGTGCACATGATGTATACAGCTAATCATAAATTTAATGATGCACCTTCATAAAGTTGAAATGACGGTATTACGTTGCGTAGAGCTTAATATATTATTTATAATAAAATAATTAATTAGTATCTCATTAGTCTCGCAAAATTAATTATTGCCGAGGATTAATTAATAGTATCAAATTACGTAACTATCATAGATATATGTTTCAATATTAAGATTAATTTTGTAACGATATTTAAATTTGCATAGGAAATTTTAATTGCTGCTAATGTCAAAATAATACTTGTAGCGGATCAATAGAATCGAAGAGTAAGTTTACGGAGCCAATTTTCGAAATCCCTCTTATTATTCACGTATTATTCCGGAAACTTCTGTTCTAAATTTTTACAAAGCATGATCTCGGGAGATAAGGAAGCGTAAGCAACGAAAAATAAGAGGCTCTCAGGCGCATCGGGAAGAAAATGGCTACTTAAATAGCGAGATCCTTCGGGGGGCTCGGGTCTCTCGTTCCAGACGAGAATGGACTTCGCGGAATTTCCATCGACACATTCGAAGCTCGAAGATCACTCAAGTGAGAAACGCGAGAGGGATCGCGGCGTGTACCCCACGTGAGTGGCCTCACGAATCGGAAGGCCGTCTAATTTTCCGCACGCGAGTGATCCGACGGTGCTCTCGAGCGCGCTCGGACGGATCACAGAAAACGCTAATGAAGGAAGGAACTCGGACGGCTCCTGGCGATGGTTAATGGAAGCGATCATGATGAAAAAGATGATCCCAATAAGGATGATTCTAACGTTGGGGGCTCTACATCAAAGGGATCTCGCGTGTGTACTTTCAGTTAAATTAAACACAAATAAGCGGAAACGCGCGCGAATGGTTAATTCCGTAAGGATATTCCCCTTAAAACGTCTTAAATTACTTAATAATAATGCATGATTATTTAAAATATACATTATTAATACTAACGGAATAAGAGAAGCGAGTTTTATTAATTTTGCATCGCGATAGATAATTAAAAACGATTTTAATTTATTTCGCTTCAATATTCATGTCTTGTTAATAATTATTTTAATTGTAGAAATTTCATCTAATAAAATCTAATTTTTTCTGGTTTACACAAGTATATATTTAAATAAATAAATATATATATATATATATATTTAAATATAAATATGAATATAAATTAATATAAATTATATATAAATATACATAAATATTTATTTAAATATATAGAGAATATTTTTAATTGATTTTCTCATGTGCAAATATTTGAGAAGATAGTCGAATTAATTTAAAGTAGTTTTTCGATCATAAATCAATAAGCGGAAAAAAGCGTGCAAAGAATAAAAAAATCAATGTAGAACCGGCGTTCGAGAAAACTATCATTATCGTACAGTCGCGTATCTTTGAAAGCGTGATTTTCGCCGCGGCTCGACTCATCGACGCGTGATAAAGATTGCGTAGGTATAGAATCTAATTATGCCGATAAACATTGTTGCGCGCCGATCCACCTGCTCGTAAATAATATAGAATCAAACATCGTATCAGGTTACATCGTAATACACCCGGGCTCGAGCACGGAACAGGTCCTTGGGCCCTGGTGAAACGGGTACCTGGAATTGCCCGTACTTTGTGCCTTATGCGCATTTTCACCAAGGACGGGGCGCGGAATCATCACCGTTGATTATGAATACCGTCAAAAATGGAAGTAGATATGATCAAGATAATTTATAAACCGTGAAACATTAAATGTTAATTTTCCAAAATACACAGTTCTTCCTCCTGCGTCAGATATAAACTCTAATATTTTTCAAGACAGTTCTTTTAACAACTTTCCTTGATTTCCTTGAATAATTTTTAAGTATAATTGTTGATATCTTACGATGCAACGATCACTCGCGAGATGAGTATTTTGTTGACGATGGGCGATGATAAAAATATATCGAAAGCGTGATTTTTGCGTCACGATTCCAGCGCACGCCGAAAATAACCATGCAATCACGCGAGTCTACGTGGAATATTTATTCAAACAAATATTAGAGCCGCGACGTGTTATCGACAGATACGATAACACTTTTTCCTTCCCGTTCGCATATGCAGCGCACGCGTATTTACACTTTTATTTATTTTTTCCTTTTTATAATATATTAGCAACTATGTGTGTAGAAGGAAAATTTATCATGCGGATAATCCTCGATAACAGGTGCTCGAATATAAGAAATACATCGACGTCGCGTAATTGCTATAGATTAATAGCATCGAATCAACTAGGACGATATCGCATTTTTATCAATAGTATCAAATGACAATTTTTCTGCCTATTTCTCAGATCTAATGCTTATCGCAGCTGATCAACGTACATTAACAACAGTCATCTACGTTATTAATTTTCGATTTATCGCGACGCATATCGCAATTAATAGAGACAGTTTGCGTAAAAATTATATTACATTCTATTGACGGATCTGAACCGATTCATCTTAATCAATATTTTTCTCTCTCTTTTATCACCGTGATTATCTGTTCTAATAAATATTTCCTAATAATTTTATTGGAACACGAGTGATAATATATTATAATGATAATATATTATTATTACATTGATATATTATAATATATTATAATATATTATAATATATCAATGTAATAATAATATAAACGAGAATCGCATAGTACCCATATTTCTCGACTAAATCCTTCGACATTCTTTCTTCAGTCAATTCTTAAATTATGAAACATAACATTCGTCTCTATTAATGATCTGTATATTGCCCGATTGACGAGTAGAGAAAAACAAACGATCAACGCAGTGAATTGTAAGTCTATCAGAAACCAATAATTCTTAATCGAAAGTCTATCAAAAACGCACGCGCATTGCGGCTATTAATAAGCTCGTTCTTTTTGCACTTAATTAATAGCGTTCAAAGATATGGAACGCATTCAAAGTATATGTCATGAGCGGATAATTGACGCGTGCGATGTCGATCGAAATTACACGATCGATGTGTCTTGGCATGAAAATTACCGCCAAAGCGATCGACGATGAGTCAGCTGATCCGTTAATGCGCGCGTGATATCGATCCTCAAGCTCAACCTTAACGGAGATAGCACTCGGACTAATTTTACAAATACGCGAATGCGCATTGACATGATAGCGGATCGATTAGTCATCGTCATCAACGTGAGAAAGAGTCATAATATATCTTCGTACATGTAATCTACAATAATCTCTGATATTTTATAAATAAAATTATTATTTTGCATGCATAATCTACAATATATAATCTCATATTCAATATATCTAGTATTAATATCTATAATTATTGTCTTTTATTTTTGAAATGACAATAAATAATATTGAATGTCTCATGTAAATGTATCATAATTAAAATTATATACGGAAATATTGAAAAGAGAGAGGACGATTTAGCTTTATGCGCGAAATACAAGAGAATGCCGGTTTTCTTTCTTTTAAAATAAATTTATCCCGTGAACGTAAATTCATCTCAAACTCACAATTGGTACGCGTTTTGCGCACAGAAAGGCACGAGATGCATGAATGCAAAATCCGGCCGTTTCAGATAAATCAGTTTTCTCGCGATTGGGGGTCGCACGATCCGTACAATGCCTTGATACACAATGCATCCACGGAAAGTAACAATGCAGTGCGGGGGCGTCGAGAACAGGGGACGGAGGGGAGAAGAGAGGGAAGAGACAGACTGCACTGACAGCTGACGAACGTACGTTTTCCACAAAACGCTTGATTTCTGCTCTCGTTGCTTCTAGTCTTATATATATGCGTTTTCTATATAATCGGATAAATTTCTAATTATTTCTATATTTATTTCTATATAATCGGATAAATTTCTAATTATTTAAAATGAATCAATGCTGATAATGGAAAACTGTTCAGCTGTGGCGCAATATTTTCCATTAATTGAATAAAACGAGATAAAGGCAGATATTTACTTATATTCGTCACCGTATCTACATACATGCCGTGCATACTGCTTTTAATAACGAAATGACTGTCCGAGATAAATGATAATAAGATCTAATCTGTGTGTATTCGATTAAATTAAAATACCGTCAATCGGGTTCATATTTAGTTCAAATTTAACAATTACGCTGTAAAATTTTCGAATTTAATGTTAATTGCAAAGCGATTAATTATGTCTAGACAGACATTTTATAAATTCGATATTAATAAACACTTAATTAAACAATTCTCTTCTCTCTTTTCTTATTCTCCCTTCGTAATAATATATTAATTATATGACTAGATATATTTTATATTTTAATGAATTGTGTATGATTCGATCAACACTCACCCGAAGCTCCCCGCAGAGGTCCCGAAGGGCTGCCACCGGTTGAGACACCCTCGTCTTCACTGCTACTGGTGCTAGCTTCACTGGGACTGTAGCTTCGCCTGCTAACGTCTCCCCTGGTAACCTTCTGGCTGCTTACCGTGCCGTTGTTGTTGTCGTGCGTCCTACCCTGATGTCTTTCGTGCATAGTCCTCACGCGCGAATGCAGCCTCTGCTGCTGTAGGGATCCAACGGAGAAATCGAGCGGCTGATCAATCTCCGATTGCACTTGCTGATGCCTCTGCATCGGGCCACACACCGATCCGGCCACCAGACTCGGCGATTGGGAGACCTGGGCGATCGACGGTTGTTGCTGTTGTTGTTCTTGGTGAACGCTAGCCGGCGAACTCCACCATTGATGCCCGCCTTGAATCGATCTCCATGCTTCTATGGTATTATTGTTCGTGGGACTTGTTTGCTTCTGCTTCTGTATCAACTGCTGTTGGGACTGTTGCTGTTGCTGCTGCTGGGCCATAGCGACCTCGACCAGGTTGTTATTCTCCAGCAGATGCATACTGGGGGTCTGCGTCATCGAGGCCGGCAGAACGAAGGGAGAGATTCCCACCGACGGCGGGCTAGCCTCCTGATGCTGCCTGTGAGTGGAATGATGCTGCTGATGGTGCTGCGTTTGACGATGATGTTGCTGTTGCTGCGGAGAACTGGTAGGTACAACCATCGGAGGCGGAACTTGCCGGACGGTCCGCGTGGCCTCCGCGACCCACCGGCGCACCGCCTCGCTGTCAAGACCCGCCAGCCCTGCGGACTTTGGCTTCGACTGGCCTCCGGGCGATGATAGACCCTTGTCGGGTATCAAGCCGGGTAGCGCGAGGACCCCGGTGCCCGCCACCGCGACCCTGGGTCCCGAAACGCCCCCGTAAGCAGCCAACGCCGCGAGATCCAACGTGGTGACCTGCTGGGCTTCGTTTGTTGACGAAGGATCGCACCGTTCCACGCAACGGAAGATCGTATGCCGACAACTCAATAGACCGCGTTGATTATCATCGCTCGTGGAATGCTTCGAGATATACTCGGGGGGGATGCTATATCGGGCTCCTGATAATTCGAACACGAGAAGCACACTCGATGATATTTATTATGTCCACATGATTGTCCCACGAAAGTCTCTAGTCAATGTCTTGGATTTCTCGATGACACATAACGCACTGCACTCGAGTTGCCGAGTTTCACAATCGTACACAATCGTATGGTGGTACGCGTATTCCAGTTTTCAATTATTCAATACACGACTTGTCCACCTCTGCGTAAAACACCTGATCGTTGTTATTTGCGTAATCTTCACTTTTATCACAAACGCATCATTAAACTCGGTCTCTTGTTCTTACCAGCGTCTTCGATGATCAATCATCAGCCACGATGCACACGAAACACCGGCGCTGTAGTCAACACTGTCAATCGTTCCGATGCCTTTGCACGACGACGTGCACTCGCTACAAACACTCGTACAAGTCTCTACGCCAGTGTCATTCGCAACTGTCATCGAGACGCCAGAAATAAGAATCCTCGCGGCTGGAATCATCAACGAACACTATCTCGATACCATCAACTCGCGATTCCGAGTCACTGCACCTATTCACCACCTCGTATCGTCTTCTTCTTGACGGCTAGTCGCCTCGTGTACGATCAGCGTCCACGCAGCACGGAATAACAGCATCGATATGGAAATAACACGATAGCCACTTGCGATCGCTGTCAACGAACGAGGTGGATCGATCTGTCCGACGTTGATCTGTTACTCGCGCGGCGTGGCACACTCGAGAGATTATACGACGCGCTACGACGGCTCTGATAGTTACGGCGGCGACGGCGGCGGTCAGATGCTGTCGCGTGCATGTGTGCAGCTACACTAGAGGACTCACGTACGCCCGCCTAGCCGCCTACCGGCCACGGCGAGCGCGGTCGCGTCCACGGATCGGTGTAAACCGAGGTGGGGGAGTCGTTAGGTCTCCGGGAAGGAAGAGGAAAGGCCGCGCGGGAGCGAGACAAGGAGGAAGCATCGTCGGATCCACAGCGGAGCGGCGTAAACGGGACAAGGAGAGCCGCGCGTGATGCCAGAAGCTTGGCGGTATAGGCACCGACACACAGCCTGCACGATTGTCGCAAGTGGGGAGCAGTCGACGCGTCGGTGGGGAACGACGCCTCCAATCGCAGGGAAACGCGGCTCCGCCCGGCGAGGCAAAGGCGAGTTCTCCGGTCGCCGGAACTCGCGCGAGCGAGAGCGCGCCTTTTTCATCTCGCGTGCATCTCGGCCGGCTGCTGTCGGCGAAGTCAAAGAGAGAAGGAGAGCGAGAGCGGGCGAAGGAATTTGCATATGCAACGCTCGCCTCCAATCGTCGCGCTACCTGCCCCACTCTGCACAATTGACGACGATTAGACCTTGATACTTGAGGACTCGTTCCGTGACCGATGCTTAAGAATTAAACTTGGCTCGATTCCGCGGCCGTCCAATCCGCTGCGAGTTGCGCCGGACCGGTTCGATTCTCATGCTACTCCTCGTACGTTTTCTTTCATGTGGATGTGATGAATGTCAGCGGATTGTCAAGGAGCCTCATCATCGTCCTGAAAACAGAAATCGATAAGAGTTGCGTATGAGATGCGTTGAACAGTCGGGCGGAAAAAATGCATGAAATCGTGTTGTCCTTTAAACATGAAATGTGACATTTGAAAAAGCACGTGGACGCACACGTCGTACAACTAGCAGATGATGTAAGATAGCGCGGTTAGCGCGGACATAAGGAAGAGCTGGAAATGAAATTAGTTAGAGGAACGGCCGCAAGATTCTTTCACGCTGGACCACCCACGCAAATCCTTATTACAGCCACAATCGACTACCGAAATTAGTCGGAAATCGTAGGGCATTTTGCATACTTCTACTTATAAATTATAAAGAAATATATTTTAGAATATTTATGAATATCTCAGAGAGAGAATATATATTTCTAGATCGTATATTTATGTACTTCTAAATTAATTTATTAATTTTTACTCGTTCTACTATAAATAAACAGATAAAATTAATCTCGTAGAATTTTATATATATAGGTATGTATTATTTTGCACATTCTTAAAATTTATTTTAGAATATTTGAATATCTTAAAAAGAGAGAGAGAATATATATTTCTAAATTATATATTTATATACTTCAAAACAATTTATTAATTTTTATTCGTTCTACTATAAATAAACAGATAAAATTAATTTCATAGAATTTTATGTATCTAGATATATATTATTTTGCACATTCTTAAAATTTATTTTAGAATATTTGAATATCTCAGAAAGAGAAAGAGAGAATATATATTTCTAAATCATATATTTATATACTTCAAAACAATTTATTAATTTTTATTCGTTCTACTATAAATAAACAGATCAAATTAATTTCGTAGAATTTTATATATCTAGGTATATATTATTTTGCACATTTTTTAAATTTAAAACGAAAAATATCAATCATAACTTTCTTAATCTTTCAATATTTGGAAAGATTAAAAATGTATGTCAATTCGTTCATCATGAGATCATGATAAATGCATTGAGATTTCTTCTCTAGAGATCTCTAGGATTGATATACTTGGGGATTGAGAGCTTGTGTTACGGTTCGATGAGATATGGCAGCAGGTGGGTACAGTTACAGGTTGAGATCGTTCGAGAGGGCGATCTGCCAAACAATGTGATTATTGTGCTGACCTATGTTCCTGTTAGTAGAAATACAAGACGTTATACTCAATTAACGTATTACAAGCGGTATGTTGTAATACAAAGTATTTACTGTTACTTTTCTTATTAGAAAGTTTAAAAACAAATAAAGCTATCTGTGACAGCGCCTAATCAGATATAATTTATTATTCTATTATTTATTTTCAAAGAAATCAATGTAATAATATTCTCTCTCTCTCTCTTTCTCCTTCTCTCTTAAAAAATATATAATTACACCGTGTGTATACCTGACACGATGTTAATGAAATATTAATGACATATTAATTGCATATTAATGCAAATTACTTTTAGATTATTTATATTGGAAATAATACGTTGTATTTTTTATGTACGGTTGTGAGCGCATTTAATGTTCATGTCTACTGTATATTTTGTCTACTGTATAAATTGGTAGATATGTCTACTGTATATTTTGTCTACTGTATAAATTAGTAGAATATTAATTTCAATCGATTCAGGACAACTTTCCAGTTGCTTAAAATACCGATAGCAACGTTATGGATGCGATATAAAAATGTATCGTGAAAATATCGACGAGGGTGGTCGAACGTCCATAAACCCTCCTATCGGCCGCCATGCCTCCGACCCGTGCACCTCTCACCTATCATATTTCCATACAAATCCATCCAGCCTCACCACTCCCAAGATTTGAATTCAGCATGCGCAGTGTCGGTGCAAAAAAATAAGACGCTTTAAACTAGCCCTTTTATTGGTCGCGAGAACCGTAGCGCTCTCCCCACTCGTGCCTATCCCCCTTCGCGTTGCACACACATAGGCGTCAGAGTGCCTTTCTTCTTTTTCTTATCGCGCTATCATATTTCCATACAGCCGACGTCCACTACCCACGACCACCAACGCTATCACCACCACTACCAACACCGTCCTCCGCCACCACCATCGTCGCCTCTTCGCTTCTACCCCTACTTTTCCACTCGATACCTAGCTCGCCCAGATTTGAATCCGGCATGCGCAGTCCCGTGCGCAAAAAGGGCGCTTTAAAGAGGTTCTTATTGGCCATGGGAACGCTATCCCCCACTCTTTATCGCGTGTACCGCGTACCTCACATCACAAACGCAACCTTCCTCTTATCGTGCCATCCTTTCCCCCTCGGCCCTCCCTTACACCCCCTCAAGGTTTCGTCTTCCTCGTGCTTGTTCTCTCTCGCCGACTTTCTCGTTCCTTCGTCCTGGTCCCCACTAACATTTCCTTCGTCCTTCGCCTCGCATGCCAGACCGGATACATAGGAAGGGGCAACCCCTACCTCGGTTTCGCCACCCTCGCGCCTGTGGTGCGACGAGGATGGAGATGATATGGGAACGAGGACGAGAATAGCGAGGGAAAGAAAAGAGAAGGAAGCGGAGAGGAAAGAGCGAGCCGGTATTGATTTTAATGACCCCTACCGACACGAAGTCACGAGAGAGGCGCGAATAATATGTACGCGCTCTGATTGTAATAGCCAGCTATATTATAAATGCGCGCAAAAAAGACAGCCCTTCGATAGGAGGATTTATAGATACGTAATATCTCAAAATGTTTTCGAATTATAATCGATGTTTGGCGCAAAGTGCACAAAGAGAAATTATGTGTTCTCACGATATTCTTCTCTTTTAGCCGACGTAATCGAGCAAGCTCGCGAGAACCGCTTCAAGGGAGAGAGAAAGGAGAAGAAAAAGGAGAATCATCCTCGAGAAATGTCTGTAACGTCGCAACAATGTCGCGTCGACATACCTATCTCGCGATGTCGATAGTCTTTCATCGTTAATATGAATTATTAAAGCATTGTGACAAGAAGGAGAAGGAGAGAAAAGTAGAAACATGCGGTCCAGAACGGTAAGATCGCTTCCTGGGTGGAGTTTCGTCTAGCGATGAAGGGTGAAAATACACTTGCCGTGTAAAATCAAAAGGATCAAGTGGCGCTACCGAAGGGTCGCATTTAAATGCCACAGACGGGCCCTTAATCTGAATAAAGTGACGAGAACCCTTTCCCCTCGCTATACGAGAACCCTCTTTTTTATTCATCGCGTGCAAGTATTTGCATGACTACCGATGGCAGGTGCCGTGTTTCCCCTTCTCCATATTCAATAGAAGAGCGAGACTATATGGAAATAGATAGGTACCTGTTTGGTAATGTGCATTTCGAGGAAGGGTTGATCTTCGCCGCTGATTCGTCACCGGCACAGGTGAGCGCGCGATCTACCTGATCATTCACAGGTGATATTTTAGAATAAATAGTACTAGTCTCAACGGATTTCTTACAGATTATTAGATTTTTCAAAATTAATTATATAATACGAAATATGCTTTATAATCGAAGTGTGTGTATTTATAAAACATTAAAAAATATTTTAATATGGATATCAATATATTTTTTAATAATTACTTCGCGCGTATATGTGCATATATTGCTTCATTATTTTACAGGTAGAAATTTTTATTTTATTTGTGTTATTCAAAAAGTGTTAATAATATCTTAAAGTAAATAATCTTTTTTTTTATTAAATTTATAAATTACTACTTCTCTCGATAAAATTATAATTGATAATCTTTTTACATAATAAGTTTTATATAAAATTATGTTAAATACAAAAATTGAATCTTTGTATTTAATAAATTAACTTGCACGTACACATATATTTATATGAATATACGGATTATATTTTATAATATAAAATTTCAAGCTTTTATTATAATTTTATGCATACAATATTATTTAATCACATTCAAAATATTCGATACATGTCTATAACATGATATATTTTGAACTTATGACTTTTAGAACTGCCCCCAATGATCTACTTGGTATATGTGTAAATCTTTTGCAATCTGTTATTAGATTATCTGCGATGATTGCTATTTTAAACAACTGCAAAAGCTGCTGAAATCTATTAGATTCATCTATTTTTGCGCATTGCGCATTACATTCTTCAACAAGAGAATATTATATATATATATATATATATATATATATATATATATATATTTGCTAAAGATATTATTGTAGCACAATCTGTAGATCAAAGAATATTTGTTTATTTCGGATATAAGTACTCTAAACGCAATTCATTCAAGAGCGTAAAACGAACGACAACACAT